CGAGTATTGTGTCAGGCACAGTGTCTCCGTAGCCCACAGTGGAGAGGCTGACCTGTGCAGGGACAGAAAAGGATAAAATCCCACGGGAACAAGCCCAGCAGACCCTGCTGACTGGTGCTAGAACTCACTCCCTCCTGCCCCTCTGTGGAGCCACCCTTCTGTGACCAGCGCCAGACCCTGACCTTGAGGGCAGCCAGCTGAACTGTCCCCTCTCCAGAGCCTGCACGACCAGGGCTCCACTGTTCCCAGCAGGTGTGGAGAGCTGAAGGAAAGAGCTGGCTGTCTAAGCCCCAGAAGCACAGATCAGAGGCCAGATCCTGCTCCCTTATTGCTTTGTGTGTGTCTCTTCAAAGGCTGCTGGACACCCATGAGCTGAGCCTTCCTCAGCAGTCGATGTCTGCTGGAGCTTCCTTCCCCTTCAGAGCTGTGGCTCCAGAGCTTCCTGGCTGTGAGCTGCCTGGTGCCAGACAAACAAAGCTTCCTGGAGCCTCCCTCCAGGGGAAACAGAGGCATTGCCTGGGAATGAACCATGTTTAGTAAATGGGGAGCGGGGCTAGCAGGGAGATGTGCTCCCAGAACCAGGCTCAGCCTGGGATGTTGAAACACTTGAACCTGTTGATGTTGCTGAGTGATTTTGCCCTTCCTCGAGGAGGGATGAATTTGAAACAGACAGCTTTTCGTGGCCAAAGGGGATTATAAGAGCAGAAGTGATCTATGGAATCATTTAATCTGTAAATCAAAATATCCTCAATAACCTGCGGCTCTCAAGTGCTTTAGCTGCTCCCCATCTCAGAGGTAATCCCAGATTTATTATACTGCTCAGCTCTGCAGAGCTGCTGGCTCGTGGCACAAGCAAGGCAGCAAATGGGCAACACACTCCAGTCTGTGTCCACCCTCCTGACACAGACTGAGGCACAGTGTGGCTATGGGTCCCATATCCAGCCCTAGGTTCCCCATTTCCAACCCACAAGCTCTTGTGTCTCTCGAGCTCAGCAGGGCTGCAATGCTGCCCAGGCCTCAGGCTGTCCAGGGTGGCTGTCCCCATGCCCACAGGCTGCATCCACTCAACACTTGGGTCCCTTGACAGATAAAACTGAGTTACATCCCCCTTGCTCAAGTCAGGCCTGGAGGTTCCCAAACCACCACCTCTGTCCCACCATCCCACCTCAGCATCAGCTTTTGAGCCTCTGAGCTTAGTCTAAACCTCTGATTTCTTTTCTCAGAGCAAGCAGGGCTCTGGGTTTCCCACCATTACTGAGCTGGTGGGAAGGCTAGGCTCTTCCTGCCTCCTGGCCATCAGCAGTGGTGAACACCTGAGCACCAGGGCAGCCCCTACCCACGGAGCCTCCCACAGCCCCTCTGGAAGAAGCTGCTCACACCTTACCGCTGCCCACCACCACGCGCAGGGGATACTGGTGAAGTCGGTGCCGGGGACATCATGTTCCACCGAGTGTATGAGAGCAGAGAAGGTGAAGACGCCCATGGCAATGAAGAGAAGGAGGCAGCAAACCTGCTGGTAGCACTGGCGCATGGTGAAGCTGAAGGCCCGGAGGCCAGTGGAGTGACGTGCCAGCTTGAGGATGCGGAAGATCCTCATGAGCTTGATGAGCTTGAGGACTTTGCCCAGCTTGCTCACATTCTCCACCTTGTGCAGCTCCTCATGGTACTGCATGTCTCCATCGTCCAGATTTTCAAAGAGGATCTGGATGTAGAAGGGCAGGATGGCCACCAGGTCTATAGCATTAAACGCTGCCCGCAGAAAGTTCTTGAAGCTGGAGGAGGATATGAGCCGCATGAGGTACTCAGAGGTGAAGAAGATTGCACAGATCATCTCCATCTGCTCCATCCACATTTTCGCTGTCTTGTTTTTCATCTCCTCCACTGTGCTCAGTGTCATGCCCACAATGGAGATAAGCACAAAGAAGCTTGACATAACAGCAATGATCTTGGCTGGGACAGAAGAGTACGGGTTCTCAATGAGGTTCCAGACCATCTTCCGAAACCGACCCAGAAATTTGCCATCAAACTGCGTCCCTGACTCCATGGGCTCCAGTTCTGCCTCCAGCTCCTTCTCTATTTTCAGGTACTCACTGAGTTCATCTCGCTTTTCCTCGAACAGGATCCGGCAGCAGCGTTGGGAGTATTTCAGATGGACTCCCCAATACTCGATTTCCTCCACAAAGTTGCTGGGGCACATCTCATCCATCACCCACAAGACTCCACTTCGGTAGAAGTGAAAAATGTAGTGGAAAATTGAAGGATCTCTATCAAAGAAGTACTCATTCTTCTGCACCAAGTAGTCATCACAGAGCTGCAGCCTCTTCACAGGATCTGTATAGAGGGCCAGCTTCCCAAGCCGAGTGATGGGATACTGGGCCAGTACCTTGTAAGCTATCTGGAACAATTTGCCACCCACGTTAATGTTGAGCAGGTACTTGTTCCTTTGAATGGGAGTCTCGCTCTTCTGGTTATCATCTGCCACGTTTTGCATGGAGTTCCATTGCCTTACCAGGCTGTCCTGTGCAAATGGGATGTAGGATTCCTCTTCCTCCGGGGTCCGGCAGCGGCCCCGGTGATCCCCTATCTTCAGGCTGGCCGAGAGGCTGGCTCGCCTGGCCCACTGTTGCCTCATGGTGCCCAGAGTTCCGAAGCAGTGCCTCCTGTTACGGGCCGCAGGACAGCAGCTCTGGCTTCATGGGAAGGATCCCACTGGGCACATACTGACCGGGATGAGTGCTGCAAGCTCGGGGCAGTGGAGTGGCTGCCCGAGGGGCACAGCTGTGTCCTGGTGCCACGTGGCACCTGCCGGGGTCCCAAAGCCGATTGCTGATCAGATTGGGGTTTGCATTGTAGCAGTCGGAGGCGGCCAACTGCCTGCTCCTTAAGACACTAATGGGATTGAGTCACTAGTCCTTTTATGTAAAGAACTATTTCTAGCTCTGCACTTCTCTTTTCCCTTATTCTGTTCTTATTAGCTGTTTGCATTTGCTGCATGCAGTTTCCTGGAAGGACATCCATGACAGCAAACTGGAAACAGCACAAACTTGCCTCGATTTACCCTTGGTTGATGGGACAGGAAGGCACAGACATGCAGGATTTATATTGGCTTTGTACCCCCACACCAGATGCTGCTCTTGGAACCAGCCCTTCGTTAAAGGCTAATGCAGCTGCCCCAGCTGTCAGCTGTCACAGCCAGGGAAGGGAGATGGTCATGACCTCTCAGCTCATCCCTCAAGTCCCACAGTGCAGATTTAGAGGATGAGGTGAAGGAAGGACCTCCACCTCCACACAGTGTCCAAGAAGATCCCCTTAGGAACAGGCTGCCCCTGTGCCCCTGCCCTATGTCATCATATTAGCCTTCAGCCCCACGACTCACCCACGCAGGGGAAGAAACAGGGAACAGGATGCTGGAAATGCAAGTAGGCAGTAAAAGTTCCTCTGAACTACTGGAACTGAAAAGGAGGAAATAATCCTTTGGATTTGTGAGGAAAAGTGGAAGCAAAATTAAACAGGGTGATCTTTGAGGTCTTATCCTGGAATATGATCCTACTTCAACATGTAAAACATCACACTAATCTCCATGAACTGGTTTAATTAAATACAGAGATGTGGAGCTCAAAGATGATCCTGGCCTGAAAAGCAGCTCAGGCTCTGCTACAATTGAAGTGTCTGAGCCTGGGGATTAGAACAACAAAAACACTTGTAGCACTGGACAGAGGAAGGGAAATTGCTGTCAGGAACACAGCCCCAAGTTTTGGCACAAGATCCATAAAATGTGTTTCTTTCAACCCAGAAGCGCTCAGCTCAGGGAGCAGAAAGCAAAACCTGCACTGTCTTGTGAGTTTGCCCCAGAGCCTCACTCCCTGTTGCATGGAGCAAGTGCCCTGCCCCGTATCACAGAACGGCCAGGCTTGGCTTGGCAGCTGCAACTCAGGGTATGATCTGGGACCAGCTGGTGACAGCTGACCTCGGCCACATGGCCCTGCCAGCACCAGTGCTTCAAGTGGCCCCAGCTCAGCCCTGTCCTGCCGGGACCCCTGGAACCTTTCCCACCCTGCACTTTGTGCTCTGCTCTGGCAAAGGGACAGGTTCAGGCATTTTTTTCACCTTGCTTTTGGCTGAGCTCCCCACTTGTCCGCAGTTCAGCAGTAGCACCTCTGGTGCTACTATGGTATCTGTTCCTCCTGTCCCCACCCTCTCTGTTGCATTTGCTCCTGTATTTAATTTTCTCTGCTACAGCTGGTGTGTGCTGGAGTCACATCTGTCCCAGGCAGGCAGAGCAGCACTGGCTCCCCCACAGCACCCCACGTTAGCCCACCCAACCCAAGTCCTCTTTCCCAGGATGTGACAATCCAAAGGTGATGCAGCCCCTGTATTTGTGTTCTGCGTGCCCTGTATTTGTATTCTCTATTTGTATTCCCAAATGCTCAATCCATGCAAATGCACATCTCCAGGAAAAATAAAAACTCCAGAACTTGTTAATTTCACATTCTTTATTCTCCTGTGTCAGTCACCACAGCTATCTCCACCTATCTCTATGGAAACAGAAGGTTGTGCGTGCCCTTGCAAATGACTCCTTGGTACTAAAAAGAGCAGCCCTGGAAAAAGTCAGGACTCCACACCACATGTAAAAAGTTTCTCCCATGGGGTATGGCAGCACTTACATGCTATCCAGGAGTGGAAGACTCCTACTCCAAGGCTGATGACTGGTGACTGCTTGGCAAGTCAAGTTCCCACCTTCAAGGCACAGAGGTGAGCAGCCAAGGCAGCAGCTTGGCACATTTAGTGAACAGTTGTGCAAGGTGCATGTGGCCAGTGCTGAACCAGGGGCACTGGGCACTAATCTGCCCTGCACGGAGAGTTCTGAGAAGTGCACAGCACTGATTCCTTTGGCTGGGGCTCCACGTGCCACACAGTGACTGACCCAAGACATGACTTATTTCCAGGGACACCTCCACTAGACCAAGCTGCTCAGAGCCCTGTCCAGCTTGGTCCCAGGCATGGGGCAGTCACAGCTGCTCTGGGTAACCAGCACCAGGGCCTCACCATAAAACCCTCCTTCATGTCCTACCTAAGTCCACCCTCAGTTTGTACCTACTGCCCCTTGTCCTTACAGGCCTCGATGAAAAGCCCCTCTCCATCTTTCTTACAATCCCCCTTTAGACATGGACAAGACACAACAAGGCTCCCCTGAGTCATCTCTTCTCCAGGGTTTGCCCTAACAAAGGTGCAGGACTTTGCACTTGACCTTATCAAATTTCATGAAGCTCCTGTGGGCCTGAATGACATCCCCCTCTGGATGACATCCCCTCCCCAGATGCACGCCTCAGCCTGGTCTCATCCTCAGACTGGCTGAGGGTCCACTTGATCCCTCTCTGCACACCATTGCTGAAAACACGCAATAGCACTGGTCCCAGTACGGACCCTCAAGGGACACCAACTCACGTCAGAATAGTTTTAAGGAAGACACCATTAAGAGTGTTAACAGGAGCCCCACGCAGCATTCCCTACTGGGGTGGGCAGAACAGGTCTGCCAAGGGTGGAGATGTTTGTGGAAGGGAGTGTGAAAGAAGCTGCTGGCCCAGGGTTGAGGAGATCCTTGCCCCATGTGGGCTTGGGTGACAGCACAGCAAAGCCAGAGCAACTGTTGTCACCCCCATGGTGGCACTGTCAGTAAAAGCCTCCCATGCATGGGACTGAGCAGCATCAAACAGCAGTGCAAGCATGGAGTATTTGTCAGATCTGTGCAGCCAGTGAGTGTCTATGGAAATAGGTGAGAAAGCTCCTATTCCCTCACAAAATCCAGGAAGAATAGGGCAGATGTAAAAAGGCTCTTGGCTGGAAGTGAAAGGAGACAGTTGAACAACACCTGGCAGTTCAAGGAGAAAAGCATCTTCGGGTCTGAGGCCACACTGGTGGGCATCAGCAGTAATGACTGTCGTGCAGAACAACGAAGACATTTCTACCACCTTTGGGAGTGCTGATGTCACAGTGCCAGGGAAGGTCCAGTGCTATTTCTGGAGCCAAGGTAGTACAACAATCTAAAGACCCATTTACAAAGGGAACATTCTCTTGGTATTCCAGTGTTACAACGCAGATTTGAGAGTCCAATTCAGTCAGACTCTGTAGCGAGCAGGAAGACAGACAAGGCCAGTCCCACCTTATCACCTTGGGATAAGGATTCCTGTTACAAAGCCAGAAAAACACCTGGTTATTGACAGTCATTTGAGAAGAAACACAGTTTCAATTTATGCAGAGTGGAGGAAAAAATCCCACACCAAAAGATCAGTATCGCAGCAGGACTGCTCCATGTCCTTGGCAGCAGGGAGAAAAGGGGAGAGTTCTGCTGCTGCAGGGCAGACTAAAACCCCATGCACCTGGTTGGCAAGCATGAGGGAAGCTGGGAAAGTCTACCCCCAAAAGGGAAGGCTCTAGAAGCCAGAAACACAGGGCAAGCTCAGGCACATGGAGCACATGGGATGCAAAACACTTACTCTTCAGGGCAAGGAGCCTTTCTGGCTCTCGTCAGACATCAGCTGTTCCCTGGATACTTTTTCAAGACTGAAGGTGTCAGATCTGCATTTTGCTTTGGACAGACCCCACACAGCAACAGAACCTGCAGCTACCAGGATGACCAGGAGCTCTGGAGAGGAGAATGCACAAGCAGAAACTCACTGTTCTGGTCCTGGGACAGGGCTCTGCTGCTTAATACCATGAGCCAACAACCAGAGATGAGCAGTGTCCCTCAAGGACAAGGGACAGACAGAGAGGAGGTGAGCTACTGCCAGATCACATGGAATGGCTTTCCAAGGACACAGTACACCCAAGGCAGAGCAACAATTAAGCTGTGATCTCAGGCCTCCCTTAGCCCTCCCAGCCCAGCAAAAGTAGCTACTGATCTGGAATTGACCCCATCAGGATACTCAATTTATAGCCCAAGGTAGGTAGGTCCAAGACCATGTGCAGCACTTGAGTCTCATATACCTGCAACAATCAAGATCCATGTGTAACCTTGACTCCTTGATGGCACAGAGACCTCAGGCTCAGGCGTAGCTGAAGGCTCTGTGAGGAAAGAGAAACAAGTCCATGAGGCTTCCAACTCAGCTTAAGGTCAGCACTCAAAGCAGTGTTCAATCCACACCTGGCTGAGTTCCCAGTTCACCTCAAGAGCACCAAGAGGCCTTTTTCAATTTAAGCAAAACCTTATCTACTGCTAATGTGATTAACCCAAACTGGAGGAAAAAAGTTCTACTGGAAATGCATAATAGGGGAAGGTGGGAAACTTCCCAGCTGGAGCTCAAACCAGCCCTCATGGCACTGAGATGCCAAATGTACAATCGAAATGCAGCTCCTCAGTTCACCTACCAATTGAACAGGTGCAGGCATCAAACCCAGTCTCTCACTTTGCAGTAATCCCCCTCCTCTCCACACCCTCAGAAACCCCAGGGTGAGGGAAGCCAGAAACGCCCTGCCAAGTACCCCATACAGTCAATGTGTTTGACAAAGGAAAATCCAGAGCCAAGTAGCTCTGGTACCGACAGTACTGGGGTGCAGACACAGCCGGACACAAGCCCAGACGCTGTGTCTGCATCTCCTGACCAGCCCTGATAGCCCAGAACTTCCTCCTCATGCTCTTCCCTTCAGCCTCCCCATTCCCTAGAGATCAGAGGAGCTCGGGAGGTGGAGAGATTCCAGTATCTTCTCGAAGCAGCTACTGGGAATTGCATGTTCTAGAAGAATGAAGGAAATACTTCAGAAGCCCTTCCTCAGGGAGCCCTGCGGGGCGTCACTGCCGTTCCCACCAGAGGAACGGCACCAAAGGTGCGCGTCCCCAGCAGCGCTTCCTCCACCCACAGCGCGGCGACCGCAGCCGGACCGGCCAGAGACGGCAGGGAACAAAGGCTTCGGTCCGGCTCGCCGCCCCCGCCCGCAGCCCGCGGCCCCGTACCTGCGCTGCCGGCGAGCGGCACCGCCGAGCTCCTCGGCGGAGTCACCGCGGGGCCGCCGGGTCTCGGCTCCGCGGTGGTTGCGGTCCCGCAGCCCCACTCGTCCCCGTCGTCCTCACAGTCGGGGTGGCCGTCGCAGCGCCAGTCCTGAGGGAAGCAGGGGGCGCCGGGCGCGCACTGGAACTGGTCCGGGCTGCAGGGAGACGGGGCGGCTGCGGGGAACGGGCGCGTGAGGGGAGGCGGGGGGCTCAGCGCGAGAGCCCCCTTCCCCCCGCGCCCCACAGCGCGGGGACCCCGCGCGCAGGCTGCACGAGGGCTCCAACCAATGAGAGCGAAGGGCGTGCGCGGAGAACCAATGGGCGCCGCCCGCCCGGCCGCTCCCCCAGCTCACCGTGGCCTGGCGGGAACGGCAGCACCGGCGGAAGCAGCGGCAGCAGCAGCAGCACCGGAAGCCCCAGCGGCAGCAGTCCCGGCCCGGCCATGCCGCGGGCCCGCACCGGAGGGACTCGCGGAGGCCGCCGCGCTGCTAGAAACGCAGAGCGCGCAGGAAAAGCGCGTGCGCTCAATCCCGACTTCCACCAATGGGTTGCTCGCGGGGGCGGGGCGCGCGCCCTTGAGGAGGCCCCGCCCACCTCCCATGCGCTTCGGGGCCGTGCCCGGGGCGGTGTCACGTGACCGGGGGAGGGGCCCGCTCGGCCCGAGCGGCGCTCTCGGCAGCACCGGAGCCGTGCCTGTTCCAGCCTGCCTTGGAGCCAGCGCACGGAGCTGCCAGGGTCCGCGGAACCCCCTTCCAGCTCTAGGAGCAGCCGGGATCTCCCACGGATCCCTGGAAATCCGTAAGAACCGCAGTCGACAGTGACCTGCTGTTCCCGGGGAGGGTCTAGACACTGTATTCCCAGAGACATGAGCGCTCTGCTGGACCGAGCAGCGTGCGGTCACAGCACGACAGTGGCACTGGCGGTGGAAGGAATGAGTTCCCCAGGATGCTGAACTTTTCTTGCAGAACCTGGGCCCAGGGGCCCCTGTGAGTGAGGCTGTGCTTTACTCAGCTCTGCTCTTCATTGACTAACTACAGCTTACAAATGCTCCTGTGCTGTATCATTATTCAAACCAACCAAATATACTGGAATTAAACAGCAGTAACTTAGATAAATCAAATAAAACAGACAAAATGGGGGGAAGTAATCATAGCTTTATATACAGTTATTAATCAGATATCAGATCCCTCCAGCAGTCTGGAGCCACATCCAGCACAGCCTCCCCATCAGAGCTGCTATGGAACCACTTGTGCTCCTCATACAGCCTCAGCTCACTCCCTGCTCACAAGTAGGGCTCATCCTTGGAAATTTCCCACTTCCTAAGTGGTGGTCCTGGAGTCACTGGTTTCTTTGCCGCTGTTGTCACTGCAGCGCCTGAACTGGGGTAGAGAAAGGAGGAAAGAGAGAAGACGCTTTAGCAACACTCTGGAAATCACACTTTAATTTAACCAGAAGTCCAGGCTGCAAACTAGTGCTGGAGGTGTTTGTTAATCAGACTGCCAGAATGGTTTGGATTGGGTGGGACTTTAAAGCCCACCTCATTCTAGCCCCTGCCATGGGCAGGGACACCTTCCGCCATCCCAGGTGGCTCCAAGCCCTCCCCAACCTCGAACACTTCCAGGGACGGGGCAGCCACAGCTTCTGTGGGAAACATGTGCCAGGGCCTCACCATCCTCACAGCCAAGAATTTCCTCCCAATATCCCATCTAACCCTGCCTTCTGGAAGTGGAAGCCATTGCCTCTTATCCTGAACCAAGTCCCTTTCCTGGAGCCCCTTCAGGCCCTGGAAGAAGCTCTAAGGTCTCCTTGGAGCTTTCTCCAGGTGAACACTCCCAGCTCTCTCAGCCTGACTCCAGAGCAGAAGGGCTCCAGCCCTCGGAGCATCTCTGTGGCTTCCTTTGGACTCATTGTAACGGGTCCTTTCTTGGAGGCCCCAGAGCTGGACACAGATGCTCCACGTGGGGTCTCATCAAAGCACAGTAGCTTCCTCCCAGAGTAGTTTCCACCCATCCCAATTATTTTCAAGGAAGCATAGACCCAAATAATCAGTTCCACATTCTTCTGCCAATCTGAGTGACTTCCCACTGCCGCTGGGCGTGTTCTGTGTTCCTATACAAATCAGGAACAGGGCTGACCCCGCTCCGCGGCGGCAGCGATGCAGCACCGCCCGCGTCAGACCTACCTGCCGGCCTGTGCCCCCGCGGGCAGAGTTCTCTGCGCTGCCGCCACCACCACGGGCGGCAGCGACTCCCGGCGCCCGTCCCGGGTGCAGTAATAGTTATCGGCGAGTTTGTGGCTGGGGCCCACCGGGAGCCGCGGCGCCGGCTGGGTCCTAGGCAGAGAACGACCCGAGCGTCAGTAGCAGGGCCGGGGCAGCTCAGCGCCCTGCCCGCCGCCCGGCCCAGCCCGGCCCCAGCACCTCTTAGCGATCTCCTCGTAGCGCAGCTGAAGCTTCGCCTGGAGATCCCGCTGCAAGGCAAGGCCAGAGCAGCTCAGGCAGGGCTGCCGCCCTGCGCCGGAGGCTCCTCGGAGCCGGGGGCGCAGCGCAGCTTCCCGCGGGGCAGAACACGCCCGAGCCCGGGGTTCTTACCCCCGCCAGGAAGTTGCGGAGCCGCTGGATCAGACGAGTTGCCGTCGCCATCTTGGCCGCGGTGAAGGGCAGGGGCGCGGGGGGTGCCGGGAGCGCGCGCGGAACGCTGGGTCTCGCGAGACTTGAAGCTATATAAAGTGACGCGGGGTTGTGCCCCCTCTTTCCGCGCCCCGGAGCCGCCATGGACACGAGCCGCGTGCAACCTATCAAGCTGGCCAGGGTGAGTACCGGGACCGGGCCGAGCTGGGCTGCGCCGCGCTGCGGCACCGCGCTTACTCTCCACTCTGTCCCCGCAGGTCACCAAAGTGCTGGGCCGGACCGGTTCTCAGGGGCAGTGCACTCAGGTGAGCAGGCCGGGCCGGGCGGGCGCGATGCCACGGGCCGGACCCGGCCGGGCTGACGCGGTCCTGCCCCGCAGGTGCGCGTGGAGTTCATGGACGACACGAGCCGCTCCATCATCCGCAACGTGAAGGGGCCGGTGCGCGAGGGCGACGTTCTCACCCTGCTGGAGTCGGAGCGCGAGGCCCGGCGGCTGCGCTAAGCGGGCCGTGGGGCCGCCCCTGCTGCCGATCGTCCGTCGGGGCATGGAGCCTTGCGCCGCTCGTTTGGTCGCGGGGCGCGGATGGGGAGGAGTGTGGCGGCCGTGTCACTGCAATAAAGGGTTTTTCCAGTAGCCCCTTGCCCGGGTTTCACTCATCGAGCGCCGCCTGACACCTCTGTTTTGTCTCCCACCTCAGCACCTGCCGCTTTTTTCGGGTTCAGTAGCAATATGCCCTGCTTGTTGCAGGGCATAGTGTCTTTATTATAATATCACTGTGTTACTGCATCTTTACTGACTTCTTGCAACAAAAATAATTATGTTTTGATTACAGTAGTCTTAATCCTAACGTTCTTGGTAAGTGATTTTCTGTATGTAATGGTGAAGTGGCCCTGGAACCTTAGCATACCTCAGTGGAATTAAATCACGAGTTGAAAGTCAAACTTGGTACCAGCTTACAAAAAAACGGCTTGGTGCATCTATCTGTCTGTCCTTAGCAAACTGCTCAGTGAATGCTGCTGTAAATATATCTTCTTGGCAGTCACCCACAGAGGGCAAATGCTTGTCACTTATTTTTGACTTACTGACTCCTCTGTCTCACTTTCTTTGGCTTTCCTTTCCACCATAAAATCAGTTAGCAAGATATGTTGTTTTAGGATATTATGTAAATCAGAAGTAGGCCTGAAAAGTCTAGAATGAGCCTTAAAACTGCTGGTTCAAGGGTAGGTTTTTAAGGACTGGTGTTCTTTATCTTCTTATAGAGTGGTCCATGTTCGTGGTGTGTTTGGGTAGAGTCAGATCTGCAGCTTCTCATGTGTGGTCTCTAATGGGAGTGTTTTTGGTCTACAGTGTCCCGAGCTTGACTGAGGCAGTTCAGTGGCAGGTGTGAGTGAGGATTTGGGTGTCCTAAAGCTAAGCAGAGCACTTCTGGGACAGTTGTGCAAAATGTTGAACTGGAGCAGGCACTGTTGCAGGGCTGATGTTAGAGTGTTTGTGGGATTTGTCCTTCCAGTTCTGGTTGTGCCTTGGACAGCTCATGGGCAACATGAGGTGAGGAGTTTGTGCCGTGGAGAAAGCCCCTGTGTTCATGCTGTTGCTTGATGTAATTTGTGATTCTTTGGGGGTTTCTGTTTCAGAGAATTAGTACAAGGCTGTACTCCCTGGCTTGTGTGATGCAGCAGAGCTCAGAAGTGGCTGTGTGTGCCAGAAGTCCTCTGAGTTCAGTCCTGTGGCTGCTGCTCATTCCTTCACACCTTCATCAGTGACCCAAGAGTGTTTGCTCTGGCCCCTGCCAGCCCTGAGTGCTGGGTGACTGGGACAGAGTGGCTTAGAGAACTGTATCCTTTCTGGAATATCCCTGTGGTGTCAGCCTGGTCCCTGTCCATCTGAGGAGGGAGGCAGTTTGCATCTTCACAATAGGTTTGGTGATTGTCCTTTAATGATGCAGTGTAATATCAGCACCACAGAGAACCAAGAGCAGTGCAGGGCTGCAGCTGGTCCTGCAGAAAGAAATGGGCAGACACTGCTGCAGCTGCCTGAGACACTTCAGCAGGAAGAAAACCAGACTGAGGGATGTAGCCAGTGCACAAACTTGCAGTGAATGACTTGGAATGTGGGGTCACCTGCTCAGGTCGGGAGCTGTGCCAAGGCTGTGCCTTTGCTGCAGCTCTTGCAGGGTTTATTGTAAGCCAGACAAGAAGGCAGGAGACTGCAGATGTTACTGTAATATTTCAAAATAACTTTATTTATATCTTAAAAATAAACATCAGTATTAAAATACCAATCAACAGAGTAGTGTATTAGGGAGTGGCAGTGAGCGCTGTATATTAACTCCAGTGCAAAGCTGAGAGCAAGTTTCTTGGGAGGGTTGTGGGGTTCCCCAGCTCAGGGCAGGTCAGGCGGGGGCAGAAGTGGTGAGGCTGGGCCAAGGAGTAGGAATGTGGGGCACAACACATTACCTTTGTGAAGGATTCAGAGCACAGCTGCCTTCCCATGCAAAATCCTTTATCCTGGTCCTTGTCCTTAACCTATTCCCACCCCACAGTGCTCACACACTTGCACAGACACATTCTCTGACATACATGTTCCCTTTTGCAGGCTCCACCTGTGTGCTCTGAGCTCTTCGGCCCCATGTGTTTTTCCTGGTGCTGTCCTCAGCTGCTCTCCCTTTTGGGATGGGAGGTAGGCAGAGAGGGACTCGGCTGTGGGCTCTGGCTATCCACACAGTCTGTGGGACTAGTTAATTGGGGAATGTTCAGGAGGTAATTGGTCTCTCTTCTTGGGAGAAAGACCTGCTCCCCTTGTGGGTTATCAGGCAGGCTTAGTCCCCAAATACATCCTTGGCCCTCAGCCCCTTTTTTCACTTGGCTGCAACCCCAATTGCTCAGAGGTTTTGCTCCTATTGAGCAAACCAAATCCCACGTGATTTCATGTTGAACTTAATCCTTTGGACAAGCAATATATTTTTCTTGCTTTGTATGCATGTGCTAGAAAAGAGAAAAAAGTCAGATTTTAGCCAGGAAAGGAAATGCCAGAAAAGAAGGGCAAGTATTTGAGTGTGGAAATGCTCCCAGCCCCTATCCAAGACAGCATTCCCTCTCCCATTGCTGTAGAGGATGTGCCTGCAGAGCACCATGTCCCTGCTGGCGCCAGGACCTGTCACTTGCCCTCCTGGCTCCATGTCACTGGCACTGCTGCCTTCTCAGAGCTGCCAGAGAGCACAAACCAGGTGCTGTTTCTGCTGGGTTGGTTCTCTGCTGTTCCTCCTTGCTGAGGGCTCGGAGGTGGCGCAGCTCTGGTGGTTGTGGCAGGGAGCAGAGGGGTGGGGTCCCACTGCAAGGTCACTTGGCACTGGTCACTTGGTGGTGAGGTGTCCGCCTGTGAGCTGGATCCAGTGGAGGAGATAGGCGAGGGAGGCCCAGGGATGGTGCTTGTGACGGGACTAAAGCTGCAGAGAGCACTTTGACACGGAGGGGTGGCAGGTGAGGGGATGTGAATCACAGCCCAGTGCTGATGGTGGCCCCTGGCTGGATCCCAAGGTCACTCTAACTCTGTTTCTTTGGACTCCTGGGGCTCTTTGTGGCTGTTGGTGAAGTCCCCTGCTGCAAAGAGAGTGGTCACCAGAGACCCCTCCAGTGACTCCCGGTCAGGGCCAGCTGGGCTGTTCTGAGCACGTGGCACCTGAAATGCTCTGCTCTTGGTCCTGCAGCCTCTTCCTGGAGACACTCGTCTGTGTCACAGCCCCTTCCCCTCCCGTGGAGAGCGGTGTGGTACTCACGGGTGTCTGTGCCTTTGTGCCATTGAGGTGAGCATAGAGGAGCGTAGCGATGTCGCTGTGACCGGCCTCCAGTGCGATGGCAACAGCGTTGTTACCATCCTAGAAAGTAAAGGAGAGCATGCAGAAAGGGGTCTGGGGACAGGCCACAGCGTGGGCTGCCCAGGCCCAGTGGCAGAACCTTACACTGTCCACAATGGAGATGTCGCAGGTGGGCTGAGCCAGCAGCAGCCTCACGGTCTCCAGGCGGCCGTGCTCGCAGGCGCACATCAGTGCAGTCGAGCCCTCCTCGTCCTGCAGGTTCACGTCAGCCCCACAGGCGAGCAGAGCTTCCACCATCTCCTGCCTCCCGTGGCTGACAGCCAACATCAGCGCTGTCTGGCCAGCCTGCAAGGAAGGGACACTGCCAGGCCACTCCTGCCCCACTCTGCTACCTGCTTGTCCCCACAGCACAGGACCACAGCTGAGACAGCCCTGCTGCCAGGCAGGAGGAGCTCCTAAGGTGATGCCCTCCCCATGCACCAATGCCTGCAGGTTTTGGAGCCACTGTCCTGCCCTTGGAAGAACTGAGCGTGGCTCTGGCATCTGCCTGGGGGTGGGAGGGTCAAGATGTGGCGGCCCCCAGACAGCACCAACCTGGCTGGCCTTGGCGTTGACGTTGCCCATGCTGAAGAGCCTCCTGACCACATTCATGTCCTCCTCCTGCTCAACGGCTGCCAGTGCTGCCAGCATGAGGGCTGTGTACCCAGCTTTGTTCTGGTGATCCACGTTACAGATCCCTATGGGGGTGGGCAGAGGGGGTTCAGGATGCTGCAGGGCTGGTGGGCCAAACCACATGCCTGGCTCCTCCTCGCAGTCCTGCCCAGGGTGCTGTGAGCCATCCCATAGGCACAGAACTGCTGATGGATCTCCCCCATGAAATCTGGGCTTCCCAAAGGGGCTGGGGTGACTTCCACCCCCACACCTATGAACAGATACAGCCCAGGGAAGTTCTCCTTGTCCCTCTGCTGCCAATGCCTACTTCCTGTGCTGACATGGCCAGGACATGACCTGGGGTACAGTAGGATGCTGGCCAGGGGCTGTTTCTGGGGCTGGGGGGCACTGACCTGTATCCAGCAGTAGCCACACGATGTGGAAGTTGGAGTGGGAGACGCTGTAGTGCAGGGCTGTGTTGCCATTCCCATCTGCCAGGTTCACCACGTGGGCCAGGAAAGCCGGTGAGACCTCGGCAAAGGCCAGGAGGTGGTTGGCAACCGTGTCAGGGATGGACGACTTTTGGCTGGACAGACGGAACCACTCCTGAAGGACCAGGCTGCTGCTGGCGAGCTGTGGGGAGAGAGAGCCTGAGCTCCCCGTAAGCCTCTGCATGGTCTCACACCCTGGCACCCATCCCCTGCTGCCAGCCCAGGTGGCAGGGAGCAGAATCCCTGCTCCAGAGGGGGTGGGTGAAGGCAGGACCCTGAATTGCCCAAATCCATGCTGGGCATGGCCTGAGCTGAGACCATAGGGGTTTTGGGGTTTCTGGGACAAACCCTGGAGCAAAGGGCTGTATTTTGGGGGCAGGTGCTGAGCCAGGCTTTGCTGGTCCCTCTCTGAGTAGGGCCAGCTCTGGGGGATGTCGGCAGGGGCTGGTCACGCCATCCCATCCCAACACTCCACTTACCACCTCTTTGCTCTTGGCAGCACCAGGGTGGCCCAGGTGGGTCTTGACAATGAGGCAGGCCTCCCTCATCTTGGGGCTCAGCTCGAACCTGTGGAAAGCATGAGGACATCCACAGTGTGTGGCTGCATCATCTCACCAAACCTGTGAGCTCCCCAGTGCCTGTAACTCCACAAGGTCCCCAGAGTGCAACCTCCAGCCCAGTAGCTGCACCCTGGCTTGCTTCAGTCTCTGCAAACCGCTGCAGAACAGAGCCCTATATGGATGTGCTCGGGCACGATTCACCCATTCTTAGGCCACATTTTTTCCTTTTGTTGAAAAATGCTATTGAAGGCTGTTGGGTTTTTGTCCCACTCTATCTTCTGCAGCAAAGAGGCATCTGGGGCCTCCCATCCTTTCTTTAGCAGACCCAA